GTTCCTAGAGCCAGATACGCTGTTGCTGTTGTTGTTGTTGTTAAGTACCTTCGAATTGAGTCTGATTTATAGCGACCCTATGAACAACAGATCTGAACCTTGTCCTATCCCTGTACCATCATTATTTCTAACATCCTCAAACCTGTTGCTACAGTCACTATGTCAATCCATTTGGTTGAGGGTCTTCCTTTCCTTGCAGTCCTTCCACCTTCCCAATCATGATGTTCCTCTCCAAGAAATAGCCTTTCCTAGCAAGTTGCCCTTAGGCAGGATTCAGCCAACTTTTAAACACAAAGGCCAACCCACTGAGTCCTGATTGGTTTAAGCAAAAGGCTTCTAGGCCATGACTTATTGATAATTGAATCAAAGCAACCAGTCAGCATACACTGATTCAGGCCAGGGTCCTTCCAATCATTTGTTATGCATCTGAGAGCTGGACAATGAATAGGGATGATAGAAGAAGTATTGATGCCTTTGAATTGTGGTATTGGAGAAGTGTATTGAACATCACACAGGCTGCCAAAAGAATGAACAAATATGTCTTAGTGAAGGTGCAGCCAGATGCTCTTTGGAGGCAAAGATGATAAGGCACGTTGCTAGGAGGGGTTAGTCCTTGGAGAAAGACGTGATGTTTGGAAGGGTGGAGAGTCTGGGAAGGAGAGGAAGACCCTTGACCAGGTGGATTGGCACAGTCCCTACTGCAGTGGGCTCTCCTGTGCCAGGAACTGTGAGGATAGCACATGATAGGAAAGGATTCAGATCTGTGGTTCATAGGATTGTTATGAGTCATACTCAACTTGACGGCACCTAACAACAACAGCAACATGTCCAAAGTATGGGAGATGAAGCTTCATCATCTTTGCCTCCAAGTAGCACTCTGGCTGTACCTTTTCCTGTGCAAAATCAAATGAAGCAATGGTCTCTCTTAGTTTGCACACTATGCCTTGCTTTACTGGTATAACCTGTAGAATTGGATAGCTGGGAGATTCAAAGTTCTGTACAAGCAGCTGAAGACTTAACTCCCTTTCATAATGGTTCATGTTGTTATGCATCATTGAATTTAAACTGAATCATACCTAGACACTCCCCCCAGCGGGTTTTCAAGGCAGTAAATTGCATAGAGATTGTCCACCTTTCTCTCAAGTTATTAATTTTTATTGTTGTTTGCCATAGAGTCGATCACAACTCATAGTATAAAAGACATGAAGTCTTTTGATAACTATCCCTGTTTCAACAAGTTCATAGAATTTCCAGAGGCTTAGGAAGTAGATGCCACTCCAGCTTCCAAACCTATTTTAAACTGGGAACTCTGCCAAACTCTGCCCACCATAGGCAACCAGTATGGTATTTGGCACTCCAAAGGCACAAGGCTCGGCATCATAGCAAACCCAGATGACCTCAGTATGGCAATTTCACAAAAGAGTGCTGTATGACTTAAAAGAGTGTTTCCCCAAAATATAACAAGACTAAGCCCAAGGGTCTGTGGCGCTTAGGCCCAATTGCATTTTAAATCGAAAGGCCTCCGAGACATCATTCATTCCGTAATCATTCCCAAGCAAACAGTCAACAACTATCTCTGACTGAAAAAAAAAAGGAGGCAGAGGACTCGTTTTCTTAGGTGACCTGCTCCACCTGTTTTTCCTATTCCATTATGTATTTGATTTCAATTTTTAATTATCTAGGAAGAATTTGCTTTACTTATTTTAAATTTTGGTTGGTTGATTTAAATCCATCTCTATCTCCTGGTCTTCGGAAATTCTGATCCTGTCATATAGTTCAGTTTGACTAAGAAGATTTTCTTTTTTTTTTTTTTTTTTTTTAATTTTTTTTTTTTTTTTTTTTGACTAAGAAGATTTTCAATTTTACTAATGACACAGAAACAAAAATAAAACCCCATGAGAAATAATTTCACACTCATCAAATTAGTTTTTTAATATCGGAATATCAGCATTAACAAAAAAATGGAGCAATAGAATTTTTATTTTTACATTATCTAATAGAATGTATTATGTCCGGTCCCTCAAGTAAAATTAAGACAAGTATATGACTGTAGTCAGAGATTAGATTAGTAGAAACAAAAGTAAAATATCTGATTAATAATTTTATATATTTTTCAATATATTATTAATTCCATTTGTTTCTTTTAGCTTTTTTATAATGTGGCTGCTAGAAAAAATTTTAAATACATACATGGTTTGCTTTATATGTCTATTGAGTGGAGCTGGTACAGAATGCTAGCAAAGTCAGATTGAAGAGTATTTTAAATGCTGTCTGGAGACTGAAGTGCGCCCGATCAAGGCCATGGTCTTCACAATTACTTGCTATGTGTCAGAAAACTGGACAACAACTAGGTATGAGAGGAGAACTGGTGCCTTTGAGCTATGATGCTGAAGAGGAGTATTGAATATACAATGGACTGCCAGGAGAACAAACAGGTTCGTCCTAGAGAGGGTGAAACCAGGCTACTCCTTGGGGGGCAGGGATTCTGAAGCTTCTTCTGACATACTTTGGGCATGTTGCAAAGAGAGACCAGTCCTTGG